CCCACCTTGTCCCACAACTTCAGTAGCTCTCCCTTGACCCCCCTGTGCCAGAACTGTCCCCAAAAGCACCAGGTGTGCACAACAGGTCCTGCACCTATCCAGGCAGAGCCCTCCAGACCATGGTCCCACCCCACAGCCCCCCAGTCATGCCTTGTGCCTGCACAGCCTCCTCCAGGAACAGACCAAGCTGTGAGACAGCCAATCTCCTACCACCAGCCATGTATTCCCCTTTGCTCCCTCCTTGCCAGATCACTCCATCACAGCTCACCTGTTTGTTCCACATTCCAGCTCCCTGGAATCACAGGGTCGTGCTGGTCGGCGCTGTCACGGATGTACTGGCTGAGCTCATGGCTGCTGGAGCTGAGCCCTGACTCGTGGTACTGCAGGAGCAGGCTGGGCTACAGGGAAGGGAGGACACAAACCTGACTGAGGACAACTCTGCTTTCCTGCTCCCAGGGCAGTGGGACAGCTCTGCTGCTCCAGGAATGTGCCCAGTGGGAGCAGCACAGCCAATTCCCAGCTCATGTCCTGTAGCATCTTGGGTTTATCCTGGCACATACCCTGGTCATACCCAAAGGCTTTGAAAAGTAATTTACATCAGCCACTGGTCTAGTCTGACACCTTTCCTGGCCATAAGATATGCTCCTCAACACAGCCAAGGAGATGGGGCTTGGGAACCCCAAAAATCATCACCCAGCAGTAAAATCACCACAACAGCTTTGATTTGATGTTTTCATTTGATCTTTTAATTTTCCCTTGGCAAAACAGCAATCAGGATACGAGTGTGATGGAGCAGGACTGGTTTGACAGAGCTGACACTGACACACAGCTGGCAGCTATCCAGGGAGGACTGAATCACAGAATCATAGAATTTTTTAGGTTGGAAAAGATCCCTAAGATCATTGAGTTCAACCACTGACCTAGCCATTTTTACCACTACCCCAAGTGCCATAATCTATGAGTCTTTTAAATTCCCCCAAGGGGTGGTGACTCCACCACCTCCCCGGGCAGGCTCTGCTCCTTAGCTGGGAGTGGGGACACATGGATTGCTCCCCGAATCTCTGGGAAATTTTCCAAGCCTCTCCACCTCCACCCCTACTGAGGTTACCTCTTGGGGTTGGCCACCAGCCTCCCCTGAGTTGCTGCCGAGGGTTCCTCCCCCTGCCCCTTCCCTCCGGGCAGCCGAGGTGTAGCTCTCCTCGTGGGAACCATAGGTCTGCATCCTGCAGATGGAAGTAAAGGGAAACACCCTGAAGGTCAGAAATTTTGGAACCAGCCACAAACCTGCTAATTTTTTGGCAGATGGTTGCCCCAGGTTGCCCAGACCGCCCATCCTTACCTGTCCTGCCCAGGGGGGCCCGTGGTCAGGTTGGGGTGGTAGCCCCTGTAGTAGTGCTGGTCCCGGTAACTGCTGCTCTTGCCATAAGGCTCTCCCTGCCTTGGGTCTAGAGAGGGAATCAAGATTTAGCACTGCCCCTCCAGAGCAACAGTGAAGTGAAAAAGAAAAGCCACGAGTCAGGCGATCTGCCCTGCACACCCCGTTTGCATCCAGATTATCCTGATGTGCTGGAGGTATAACAGCCTCCTGGACGTGTCTGTCAACACAGCACTGATGTCCTCTCCCCTTTCCTTCTTTCCCCTCTGTTCAGCCCAAAAGCTTCAGGAACAGCAGAAAAGAGGCCCTGGCCACCGTGATCACACAGCACCATCAAGCTCACCCCGGAACCAGGAATGACACAGGATTTTAGCCATGGAAATGAAGATCAAACATCCCTTGGGTGCACCTGGGTCCTGCTCAGGTTTCCCAGATGCAAACTGGCTGCCTGTGCTGCACAGGTAGAACACCAACCAGCAGCATGGGCAGGATGTGCAAGCCCTGGGAGAAGAGCCCATCCCAGAGAAAGCATCACTTCTGCCAGCAAGATGCCTCCGTCCCCAGATCCAAAGGATAAACCCATACCTCTGCCACCCTGCCAGGACACCGGCTGCCTAGGGTGGCTTTGGTAGGGATAGTCACCCCTGTAGCTGGCTGCTGGATACTGCCAGTGGGGGTCTTCATATCCTTGCCTGAAAAACAACACAACATGGTCTGAGAAGGAAAGGGCACTACTGTGGGTTCTGGACCACATCATTTAGGGTTAAACCTGTGCAAAGAATGGGACCTTTGGAGGTGGGAATGGTGATGGAAATAAAGCCAGGATCCCTAACCAGGGGCAGGGCCAGAAACTGACCCAGCATCACACCTGGAAGGAGCAGTAGGAGGTTTGGATTCTGTCCCATCCCTATGAGAAAGCTGTGCACTGCAGTTTCAGAGAACCACAGAATGGTTTGGAGTGGAAGGGACCTTTAATGGCTATCTTATTCCAACCCCCACCCAACCAGGCCTTGAGATATTCCAGGAATGGTGCAGCCACAGCTTCTCTGGGCAACCTGTGTCAGGGCCTCATCACCCTCACAGGGAAGAATTCCTTCCCAATATCCCATCTAACCCTGCCCTCTGGTAGCATTAATCCATTCCCCCTTGTTCTGTCACTCCTTGCCCCATTACAAGTCCCTCTCCAGTTCTCTTGCGGCCCCTTTAGGCACTGAGGCCTTGCTGGAACCTCCCCCTGTCTTTTCTGCCAAGCTCTGGAGCTGCTGTGTCCACAGCTCCCAGCCCAAGCCACCCAACTGGCGCTCAGATTCCTTAACCTTTCCCAATTTACACAGGGATTTGGTCTGCCCTGTGCAACACCCCCTCCCTTCCCAGTGTGAGCCTCAGCACAAAACCCCACGTGCCCACTCCATAACTCACCAAGGGCCATAACTCAGGCAAATCAACCCAAATTGGCTGGAGCACTGAAGCTCTTTCTCAGCACCAAGAACATCCTCCAGCCCACATTTTATCCCTCTACCCTCCGCTGTTTCAGCAGCTGAGCTTGCAGGCTGCCTCTTGCTCCTATATTAGCCTCTGCATTTTTATTGTTCACCTTGCACTTAGGAAAAAAGAACTGCATTTAATCAAATCTGCAGGGAAAAAAAAACGCACCTCGAGGCCCGAGACGGAGCGTGTGAAACGGCAACCGCAGAGGCCACTCTTTGAAGAAGAAATCAGAGCTACGACTGCTGCACAGCCTTAAACACGCAAGTCGGGGGCTGCTTTAATAGCTGAGCATCACCCGCTGTTTGCCTGCGCGGCCACAGGGGCAGGACCCGCGAGCAGTGACACGGACGGTTCCTATTTTAGGAAGGTTTTCGGGGAGAGGGGTGGGCAGGAGCAGCGCTCACCTGGAGTAGGGCCGGCCGGGGTAGGTGCTGTCCAAGTGCTCAGCCCCCGAGGCCGGTCTGCGGGTGTCCCTGCGGGGGGGGTGTCCCTGCTCCCAGGGGTGTCCCGGGACGTGGCTCCCGTCCCAGGAGCCGGGGCGAGGGGGGTGCCCAGCACGGAGGAGCTGCCGCCGGAGTGGGGAGGGGGGGCCGTGGTGCCCCTCTCCCCAAGCCCCCCAGGCCGGAGGCTTCTCCCGGGGCTGGGGGGGCTGGGCAGGGGCCCGGGGGTCCATCACAAGCTTGCCAGCAAGATCCTCGCCGGTTTTGGGGAGCTAAAGCCTCAAATGGCTTCAGCGGCCTGCAAGGGAAAAGTCACAGTGGGTTTGATCAGCAGCTTCTCACTCCCCTCCAAGTCCCCCTTGAAGCCTGTTGGCAGCCACTCTCTGTTTTTGGGATAGCACTGGAAAACGAGCATCCTTTCCAGGATGCCCAGAGGCAAGGAAAAGCCATCTCCACATCTGCCTTAACTTGAAGGTCCCTATAAAATACCAGCCATTAAATGGGCCATTTTTGGAAGCGTTTTTGAACCCCAGAATGGTTTGCGTTGGAAAAGATCTGAGAGATCATCTCATCCCACCCCCCTGCCATGGGCAAGGCCACCTTCCACTAGCCCAAGTTGCTCCAAGCCCAGTCCAACCTGGCCTTGGACACTTCCAGGGATGGGACAGCCACAGCTTCTCTGGGTAACCTGTGCCAGGGCCTCCCCACCCTCACAGGCAACAACTTCCTCCTAATACCTAATCTAAATCTCTCCTCTTTCAGTTTAAACCCATTGCCCATTGTCATATTGCTACAGGCCCTGTTAAAAAGTTTGTCCCCATCTTGCTTACAAAGTCCCCTTAGATAGGTGGCATCCAGGCAGGATCCTCCTGCATTCCCAGCTGCAAAGCACCACTGCTCACAGGCCTCCCAGCCAGGGGAGAAATCACCCTCACCTCTGTGACACAGCTGTGAAACCCCATTTTATCCGTGGTAGGGAAGGGATTTTGGCAAAGCTCCAAGCAGGACAAGGAGTTATGTGCAAAGAAATGGGTAAGGACAGAGGCAGGGAGAAGTGGTGCTTTGCTCTTGTGAGCTATGGGATGGCATAGCGACAGAGATTTCTCCTCCTGCCTATCAGGTCCAGAAAGAATTCCCAGCGGACACCAGAATTAATTATTACAGTCCCATGCAGAAGAGGAAATTCTAAGGAGAACCCAGGTCAGTGCACTAGTGAAGCTCCAGCTGCCGGGGGGGTTTTGTCACCCTCCTCAAGCCCCCACATCTTCTCTTGCAGCACTGGTACCCAAACTGCCCCCACCACTACAAGCCTCCCTGACACTGGCAGATGGTCACACACTGTCTGAACCCCTCCTCACCCCCTCACTCAAATTCTGAGGCACTTTGTGGTAATTTCAGGACTGGAAGACTCGCAGGTCTGAAGAGAGGCGGCTCAGTTTGTGCCCTTCTGGGTGAAATCCAGGGAAATCCTTGCCCTAAAAAGCCCCCAGGCATAAAACATCATTTCAGTCCCACCGAGGGCTCCCCCAGTTTTCAGCCAGAGGTTCCCACCACCATCCACCCCCACAGCAGCCACACACACCTGCTTAGAGGTCGCTGGGGCTCTTCTTCCACTCCCTGTTGCCACTTCCAAAGTCCAATGCCACATGGGCCGGCGGCCGGCGCGGGGGCAAAGGGCAGTCCCGGCTCCTCCGCCCCAGAGCAGCCGCTCACTCGGCTCCCAAGGGGTCTGACACTGCTGCTGCATCCTGAGGGTCACCTTCTCCACCCCTTGGGACTCCTCTCACCCGAGATAAGGAGCACACAGCCCTCCAGGCTCAAAACAAGCCAGGTATTTCTCCTGTGGAGAATATCACAGGAGAATTACCATGAGGTAAGTCCAGGCAGATAGTGATAGGCCAAAGGGGAACAGTTCTAAAGTGAAAGAGCAGGGATTTAGATAAGATGGGAAGAGGAAATTCTTCCCTGTGAGGGTGGGGAGGCCCTGGCACAGGTTGCCCGGAGAAGCTGTGGCTGCCCCATCCCTGGAAGTGTCCAAAGCCAGGTTGGACGGGGCTTGGAGCAACCTGGGCTGGTGGAAGGTGTCCCTGCCCACGGCAAGGGAATGGAATGAGATGAGCTTTAAGGTCTCTTGCACCCCAAACCATTCTATAATTCTATGAAGTACCCTCCCCTGTAAATCCTCACACTTCCTAAATAATAAATAAAACCTTCTGGTTGTTAGTTGTTAATCAGTTGTTAGTTTAATTCAGACCTAGCCACAAGAAAAGCAAAAAACATCCATCCCACCATATGCTGCCCAGGGCAGAATTTGGCCAGGAGCACTATAATGGCCTTGCTGTAAAAGTGGCTGGGGACTCCTGCCTGGACACTCTCTTCCAAAATCACCCAGAGACCTTAAAAACTGGAGAGAGGAAAAAAAAAAAAAAAAAGACTAAGTTAAGGCAAATGGCACCACACAAAGCTGCAGTAAAAGCTACTTATAAGATCCTTCATCTGCCACCCAGCAGTTTAGTGATGTGCCACTTTCCCCTTCTTTCCCAACACCTCCAAATTACCTCCACCGTGACACCACAGCACTGATTGATTTGGGATCCACAGGCAGGAGGGTTTGCTTTGCATCCCAGTGGCTCTGTCAGAAAACCCCTCTTCTAATGATGTTGAAAGACTACATATATTACAGCTTCAGACCCTTGAAATTTCCACCCTACTGGGAGAGCTACGAAATTTCTCCTGGTGATTTGAAGAAATAAGTGCTTGGTCTCTGCAGAATTCAAGATTTCAAGTAAAAAAAAAAATATCCTTAGCACTCAGCCGTACCGAGATCCGACTGGGAGAAACACAAACCAGGCAAGCGCTGCCTTCACGCTGCTGAGCTGCTGCAGCAGAGTGAAATTAAGCTTCTCCTCTCCATTTCTCAGCTGCCCTTCAAAACTTTGGGAGGTTTTGAATGAAGTGAAAGGTCTGTTATGGACAGATCAGGTCTCAGGGCAAAGCTAGAAAGTACCCCTGGAGACCATGAGAAAGCTACTTTTAAAGTATATAAATAGATATGATATTTTACACATATAAATATCATAATTCCATTTGGTTTCTGGCTAATAATTTTAGGTTTTTAGCCAAGAGGTGACTGCTGGGTGTTTCCAATCTGTTTTCTAGCAAGAAAGGAGCCCCTGGTGGTCTAGTGGTAAAGGCGCCGCGCTATCGCCGCCAAGACCCGGGTTCGATTCCCGGTCAGGGCCACTCCCGGGCAGGTGGGGCTCGTTAGCCCTTAAAGGCAACCCACCTACATCCTAAGGACCTTGCTGCCACCGTCCAAGCTCGCTTGGCCCCGGCAGATGAACCTTAGGATTAAAGGGTGGGCTCAGTTCCGCGCACACTGTGTCTCACCTCAAAAATCCAATGCGCAGGCTGGAAGGTGGAAAGACCTTCCCCGGATCTTCGCTCGCAAAGACTGGCCATTATTATTATTATATCTAGCAAGAAGACAAATCTATACCAGGAACCTGCAGGGTTCAATCAGCATCACATGAAGATGTTGAGAAGGAAGGTCAATTTAAATTAGGTATAAGGAGGAAGTTTTTTCACAATGAGGGTGGCAAAACACTAGCACAGGTTGCCCAGAGAAGCTGGGGATGCCCCATCCCTGGAAATGTTCAAGGTTGGGCTGGCAGGGCTTGGAGCAAGCTGGTCTGCTTGAAGATGTCCCTGCTCATTTCAAGGGGCTTTGGACTAGCTGACCTTTAAAGATCCCTTCCAACCCAAACTACTCCAACTCTGTGGTCCTCAAGCTGTTGTTGCCAGCCTAACCCAGGGGATTAAGATTGCAAGGAGGATTTGGGAGCTTAACTTGCATAGAAGCAGCTGCAACTTGTGATGCTTATGACTGAGATGGGTGGAAACTGTTCTGGTCCATGCTAGGGAAAGAGTCAAGAAATGCTATCAGCAACATCAAGCTTTGAGCAAAAGTAGTTTAAAACAAGCAACAGGGGAACACTCATTTAAAGGCAGAAGGAGCAAAGTGTGCTGGAAGAGGAGACTCAGAGGATGGAGCTGGGGAATGAAAAGTGACAGACGAAAAAACAGAGATAAAAGGATCTGATGGGCTAGAAAGAGGAAAAGAAAAGGATAACTCTTTAACTGCATCACTTCTGGCCAAGAAATCACTGTTGTAAAGGATTCACAGCTTTCTTGGAAATCCAAGCCCTGTGCCCTAGGACTGCCACCGAGCTCACAGGAGCGGTGTGACGCAGGCAGCACGCGCTACAGATAGCATTTGTCACAGAGCTGAAGGGACACCACTATCGCTTCACAACATCGCATTTTTCGGCTTTAAAGGATTTTGCTGGTGTTGTCACAGTAACAAGATTAGGTGGAAAACATTTTTTTTTTCGTGCCCTCCAGGTGTTTGTGCAGCTCATTGGGGCCCGGATCACAGACAGCCCCAGACTCTCAGGTCAGTCCCCCCCACACCAAACCCAATTTCATCCAAAACCTTTGTAACCTAGGACTGGAAATCCAGGTGGCTTCAGAATCTGAAGCTATTTTGAGGTGACTGATGTTGCTTCTAATTGGTTCTGAGACAAGATTATTTTTTTTAAGCAGCACTGATAGGAAGCTTTGTTTATCTCTGAGCTTTAGCCCTCTAGAAATGTGAGAGCTATATTAAAAAAAAAAAAAAACCCACACTTTTGTGTGTGTGTGTGTGTGGAGATGTCTCGAGAATCACGCAGGGCAGAAATGCAAGCAGCAAATGAGCTACATAAAGTGTGAAAACTCATCCTGAACATTCTATACAGCAGAAACGTCAGCCCTGAATGCGCTACCAGCATTCAGGATGTTTGACAGCGTATTACACGTCACACAGACCAAGACAACCAAACAAGAAACCCAGGACTCAGCTTCCCAGACAGGCTGAGCACCTGCACCAGCATGGGGAGAGCCCTCATCCTCAATCAGTCTCAATGACAGCTAATTAACTAATTAGCTTGATCACCCTCCCAGGCTCACAGGGAAGGAGCGGCGGGAGCTCCCGCTCCAGCCGGGGGTGGCATTTGGAGCTTCCCAGGCCAGGGACATCCCACTGGGAGGGAGGGGGTGGCTCCTAAACAGCCGAGATGGGGTCTGCTCCCACCTACAAGCCACTGCATTAGCACCCCCACCTGGATGTGATCCAGCCATCACTCCACACCCTCCTGCAGTTTGGGAGCTGAAGTTCTCGCCGACGGTTTTGCACCTTTCTTCCCCCACGTGAGGTTGTTTCTAACTAAGAAACTAAGCTTGACTAACTAAGCTGTCCCTCCCCACCACCCTCCTGCATGCACACAGCCACACATGGCAGCTTCCAGACACGGCTATTAATTTTTGGAGACTTAGGCAAGAATATTAATGGCATTCCGGAGGCATTCAGCGTAATAAGAAAAAGCATTTTATACCCTGTGTTTTGTCTTGTGAGGAAACAGAGCTGCAAAAAGCTGTGAAAATCAAAGTACATTCCTGGTCTGGCTGCAGCGGAATAGTGACCCCCAGCCTCGTGCATGAGCTCCTGTTACAAAGCAAATCCCAAAAACCTTCCTAGCCTTCGCCTTGCTTTGTTCCCACTTCAGCCCAAACCCTCAACTCTTGGCTGTGAATACCAAGTTGTTGTTATTTGCATCCCCCACCTCTACAGGAAAAGGCTGTGCTGCTCTCGCACCCCATCACGTCAGGCTCTGCAGCACCTCACCAGGCTGGACCCACCTTGGGAAGGGATTGGGAATGCACAGGGGGCCCTTGGAGATTCGAGAGCTAAACCCAACAGCCTTGAGGAGGTCGGAGAGTTTTCAGTATTCAGATCCTCTCGTTTTCCTGTGCAACACCACCCTTATGTTTTCCCAGCCATAAAATTGATGTTTATCTCGCTTCTAACTGCCTTACAGAGATCATTACACATTGCAAATCCAACCATTTGCAGACAAAACGAGCACGGAGCAGCCTGGAAACTGTCACACCACCCCTGCCACGTTGTGATGCCTTACAACCTTTAAGCTGGGAATTAACATATAAAACCAAGGGACCTGGAAATATTTGTCGGGCAGACGCAGAAAAGCAAGCAGAGGTAATTCCTCCACCCACCCCACACCACCCCCTGCTCAACCAGGGAAAATTAATTTTTAAGCGAGACGAATTCTGCAGCTCTTCCTGTGGCATCAAGCAAAAAAAAAACCCCACAAAAACCAAAAAACCCAAGGGGAGGTTGTTATTCCTTGTCCAAAATCTCCTTGCTGGGTGAAACGTCTCTCTGGCTCTGTGCCTGTCGGAGGGGACAGAGGACAAAGAGGGGGATGCAGAGGTCAAAACAAGCCCCAGTGGCCTTAACTCCCGCACCTCCTGCTGTCTGTGGCATGAAGGAGCAGGGAAGGGATGCTGAGCTCTGCCCTCCTCGTGCCGATGCCCTTGGAGATTTCCACCCCACCCCCTCACTCTCAGGCTCCTTTATTGGTGGGCCACAGAGGGAGCAAGGCGGACACAGACCCTCTCCCAGGGTCTCCAAGCGCCGGAGCAAGGAAAGCTGATGGCTTGGAAATCTTTAGCCCCGAGATATTCCAAGGATGTCCTTTGGAAAACATTGCCATCTTGTGTCTTTTCAGGCACTTGAGCGCCGGTTGCCTTCACATTCGAGCCCATTCTGGAGCTTTATTACACGCAATCAGGGACAATAAAGACCCGTGACAGTTACAGATGGCCTGGCTGTGTCCTGTTCCTACTGCTACCTTGTAAAGTTGGACAGTAACGCTTCCCTCATTTTTTTTCATCTCAATTTATGACTCCTCTACCATGAAAAGCCACTTATGCCCTCCACAGTTACCTATACCGTATCCTCCAAGGCCAGTAAATCACAGTCTCAAGTCATGTCAAATTTTGCGAAATAAAGCTAAATTGCACTTGTCCTCTAAGGCAAGAAGCTGCAAAATTGAGAGAGAATGAGCTCTGTTTAAAGCCAGATTCCTGGCTGGCAGCTTCCCCTGTGCAGAGACAAGGACCACCAAAAACCTCTACATGAAAGAGAAAAGGCTGATAGAGCAGCGAGCCCCTCTGTGCCACCCCAAGCTGCCTCCATAGGTTTTCTGTAAGTTAAAATAGCCCAAACTCACACTATTTCCTTCTATAAACTGAGCTCCAGGGTCCCACAAGCAGAACACAGAGGGCTGGGAGCAGGACAGAGCCAGGTTCCAGCAGCATTTGTTTGCCAAGGCTTCTTCCCTGGGTTGGATTTGTGGTTGGAAAGAAAACTGGGGAGCTGATGGGATCGAAGCTTCTTGTTTTAAGAGGATTTTTTTGTGCAGGTAGAAGTTAGAGAAGTACTAGCACAGCAGGGCTTTGCTCTGCTGAGCCCATCTGGGCTCTCTCAAAGCGCTGGGCATTGCACCAAGAACTGGGGAAACTGAGGACAAAGAAAAAGCTTTGACCCCAAACCCACCCTTTACATTTTTCCGGGGCACGGTGACTTGTCTTTTCCCTTCTGCAGCAAAGTTAAACTTTCATGAAAGCTGAATTAAGTTGGAGAAGAGCCAGCTCCAGGGACAAACAGCAGTGTGATGGAGTAAGAGCAAGGAAGACCCAGACAACTGGTGCTCCTGCTAATTCCCCTTCCCTGCATCCCCCACTGCCAATTTGTAGGGGGCTTAAATTGCTCCATCCCACCATGGCAGAGCATCCAGCCTGGCACGGGCACCATGCAGCTCTTTCACCATTTCTCATCAAAAGGCACTGCTATTTTGGAAAAAAAATAAAGTTTATTCCATAGTCTAAGCTCAGGAGTCATCTTCCCTTCACACCACAGAGCCCAGAGCGCAAGGTACAAGCTCTCCACGTGGAAAAAAATGCCTCCCTAGAAGCAGGAAAGATCCAAGGCGTACACACACAAAAATGAGGAAAATTATGGGCAGCCATGACAGGGGCAGTGAAAAGCAGAAAGCAACTCGTGCCAGATCCTCAGCTGATAAAAACCCAACGTGCATAACACAGCTTCGGGCTGGGCTACACTCAGCCCTCTCTGAATGTTTAATGGGAGCATATGCATCAGTTAATCAGCAGCACAAGACACAAAGCATTTTGTACCTCCTCGCCACGAGCTGGGCAATTAAAAGGCTTCTCGTTCAGGCACGGAGAGAAAAGTCAAGGGACTTTGGCTGTGGAGCATCCATTATTCAAAAGTGTATCCATTATTCAAAGTTTTTCTTAAAATCCTATTGTCAGCTTGAAAGGCAAAAAGAAAATGAGTTTCTGAAAGCTGTGCTCTGTTGATATTCCACTCCAATTTTTGCTGATTCTAAGTACTAAAACTCCAGACATTTTGAGGAGCTAAAGAAATCCTTCACAGTTCCTGAGAAAGGCAACACCCTGTAGGTAGTCACAAGTTCCCCCGCCGCTTAACTGTACCTAGTAGGGGTGTGATACACCCTGGCCAACAACACACTCCTCCTCCCTAATTGCTCAGCTGCCCCAGCGTGAGGCTGACGAGCGTCTGCTCAGGAGGAGTGCTCAGCAAGCAGGGAAGACACCCATCATTGCACTCCAGCTGCTGATTGACAGCCCTAAGCTGAGCTGAAGGAAGCCTGGGTGGGATGCACAACCTTCCCACACTGCCCAGGAGCTTCCCCGTAGGCCACCAGGCCTTGGCTGCAGGAGTTCAAGTGGGAAACAGATCCCAAGGGTGCCTCCTGCCATCCAGCTGTGCATGCAGAGGAGCATCAGACCCCACAGTTCCTGCTGCACAGGGAGAACACTGGGATAACAACAGAACCACTCCAGGAAAGATGCTTCACAGGAACTGCCTCAACGGTGGAAAATATTCAGCAAGAGCAACAAATTATGACAAATTGCTAACAGTAGAATATAAAAATAAGGGTTTACCTCCTCTAAGAGATGGAAAGCATCAGGTCCAGGCATCAGGCACCTCTGAAGCGATGAAGTAGGTCCTAAGTCCAGCTGGCAAGACAGTCCCCAAATTAGAATCAGGTCTAGGGAAAGCATTCAGGCTAAACATGTTTGGCTACACCCAGAATAGCAGGATTTAAGGCCAGGTTGGGTATACTGAGGTAGAGACTGCTCTTCCTACAACTGAGCTTAGAAAAGAAAATACTTCCCCAGGTGGAATTTATATAGAGCCCCAGCCCATGGGTGGGGATGCTCAGCTGAGGCCAGTCAGGGCCACCAAAGCTTATAAAGACACTCAGAGGCCCAGGAAGGGTTTATGAAGAGGTGGAACAGGAAAAGGGGGGCTGTGCTCTAGGGCTGATTGCTGAAGTAAAATTATTGTTGTGGTTATGTGTTATATAAAGCCTGAAAAATAACCCAGAGTAGTGAAACAATAGTGATGTTTTTTTACCTTACATAAATATGTAGGGGAAAAAAAATAAAACAGGAGCTTTAGAAAAGTTTCTCTGTCCCTGAAGAGATGTTGCTATAATCCATAGTAGTCTGTCAAGGCTTGAAGGTACTTTTATTTGGACAAAGGAAGACGAAGAGAAAACGTGGCAGAGGTGAGTAGCATTCACTAATAAACACATGTTGTAGTTGTAATAATATATCAGAATATATGCCATTAGGTAAGCTTAGAATGAGTTTCTTCAGGCTTCTTGTATGGACAAGCTGTTAGTGTGTGGAACCTTCTGTGGTGTGACCTGAACCCACCAAAGACACAGTTTCCCTAAAGCAAATTGAAGGAAGGACAATGATTGGGGACTAACAAATGCAGTGTAACACATAAAAGCCCTTAAATGCTGCTGGGAGCTCAGTGGGTGCCCCAGGGCCAGGGTCCTGCTCTTCCACCATTGCACTGACAATTTTTCTGCTGTCAGACTACCAGCTTAAGGAGTTGCCAATAACTTGGGGACAGCTTGATGTATGAAATGAAGGCATTATTCAGCAGTCTGTGCTGACAGCTATCTTTAAGCAGCACATTTATCTAAAGTACAGTGATGCTTCAATAGTGGATACCTGTAGAGTGCTTCCAGGGCTCTAAAATGAGCTGGATGTTATCTGTAGACTGGCTATGGCTCACAGCTTATTTGGACACATTCTTTGCTGCAATGGGCCATTTTCTGCTATTACCAGCGAAATGAGCTAAAAACCCGCTTCTTCTGCAATGAGAAGCTGCGCGGCATGTGATGAATTCGCAAAGCTTTTAAACGATGGACGGGAGTTAAATAACTTCCTCCAGGGTCTGAGGCACTGCCGAGCAGGGCTGGAGTCGCTGCTGCAACCAAGGCAGGCCAAGGAGGGGCACTGCAGCAGAGGCAGCTCTGTGGAAGCAGCTTGTGCAGCCAGAGTTTGTGATGCTGGAACAGCGGGGCACAGCACAGACAAATCGCAGCGTTGTCAGATGAAACGGTTTAGCTGTTGTCACTCTACAGTCCGCTGTAGCTCAGGTTTCTCTAGTTAAGCTTCAAAGAGTTGTAGGCAGCTCGTTAGCGGCGTTTCAGGTTCCTTTTGTTTGCAGCGACTCTTAAAAGAGGAAACAGGGTCTGTGATCGCCCCTCCTGGGGACCGAGCCGGGTCAGGAGCACGCTCCTTCTTCCCAGGCAAAAAATACCTGGGAATGTGGTGGGCCAGGTGGAGGGGAGACAGGAAAGCAGTGTCCCTTCGTTGCTGATCACTGCTGGAGGCAGGATGGGCTGGGGAATTTGTTCCCTGTTCGAAACACTCACAGCAAACCTTCGCTCCTTCACCTTTCTCGTTCTGGACCTCATTTCAGATCAGACCTTCCTGTCAAGCTGCTCAGATACCTGCCAGAGCTGTAACTCCCTGGAGCTGGGAAGTGTGTTTTGGGCAGTTTTTGGAGTTTGTTTTTAGAAATTTTAGAAATAGAAGGAAATGGCCAGCAGGGACGGGACCAGTGCAGGAAGGGTAGCTGAGACCTGTGTGGCTGTGGACGGTGGCTGAGCTGCAGAGTTACCTCCGGATGGCTTTTGGTGGCCACTGATGTGGCAGCCTCATAGAAGGTGAGTGAGCAGAAAGGGCAGAATGATGCACAGGAAGAAGTCTGCATCCCAGTCTTGGCTTTCCACTCCTGGGATCCGCTATTGCCATTGGAATAACTCAGGACCAGACCAGCTGCTGGGTATTCCTCTGTTCTACATCCCTCAGTGTGCTGGATCTTGGCTGTATAAATATTTCTGTGGAGCTAAGCCGTTACTTAAGGATTAAAATACCATCAAATAAGTAAAAAAATTATTTGAACACCTTCAGAGGTGCCCCGGGGGGGAAATGCAAATGAAGGCACATCAGGATCCACTAATCCACTTCTAAAGTATTATCCCAACACATTATTCTTTAAGAACACAAGCCCTTTGGTAAGGGAACGAAGGGGGGTTTATGACATTGCTATTAAGCACGTTGCAATCCTGGCCTTGCAGTGTCCAACCAGGAATTAATGACTCCCTGGCTCCAACCCAGTGAAAGGAGATTAAAAAGGGTGAGGGGAAAATGGGATTTCTTGATTCAATATTTTTGTTTCTTAGAGAACCAGGACTCTGGAGACTTCTGTGCCAGGGGCCTAACTGCACACAAAACCCTCCTTCTACAAAATAAAGGAGCTTTGCTAAAATAATTCTGAGGAATCTGCTCTGTGCTTACCCCTTCTAGTTTGGAGAGTGCTCCAGTATGAGCATGGATATTTCCCTCCTGGCAGTACTGGGGAATGGAGGAGATAGAGGAAAAAAAAATAGAGAAAT